CCACCCTGTACCCCCCACACACACGGCCCATTCTCCTGACTCTCTCCTCCACAACCACACCCCCCCCGGGAGCAGCCACACAGCCGGGTTGTGAAGGCGGAGCGTGTTCCCCGTGTTTGCGATGCTGCTTCAGGGTTTCAGGCTGCGCCGAAGACCGAGAGTGTGAAGGCCCCCCCCCGCCCAGAGCGTCTTCGAACCTCCCCCGTCCTGCCCACAGCCCTAACACCCAGCCGGCCCTTGAACTAGTTTCATACCCAGCAGGGGGAAAGAAAAACACTTCCACTGCACCGGCTTCTCCAGCGGTCGGGGTGAGAACGGGCAGGCGTGGGGCTCCCCGGGAGCAGGCGGGGAGACCCCTGTATCCACACAAAAACGGAGGGAATAGCGGCCTGCAGAGGGATCAGAGTGAACGAAGGAGTCTGGTGGTGCAACCGAGTCTGAGCGCAGCGCTACGTGCAGAACAGCGGGAGGGGAGAGGAACAGGACAGCACCAGGGCAACTACCGGCTGCCCGCGAGCCGCAGAGACATCCCGAACTCCTCCCCACACACACACACGGTCACACAGCAAAGCACCCAGGCCCCACTACAAGCCCCTGGTAGCGCAGGGACTCCACTGAGCTCATTCTGGCCCCAGTGTAGCATCAGCACTGCAGGCCAGTCCTGTCCTGTCCTACCGGAGCCGAGCACACGCAGGGCTCGGGCGCAGACCTCCCACTGCTTTCGCTATGTTTCCTGCAGCCTGCCTGTTCTTTACAGCCCTCACTCCGCTTTTAGCACAAACGCTCCCCAAAGCGCCCCCTGCTGGCAGGAAAGGGGAACTACACCCCGCCTTGCCGAGACACGGCCACCAGGAGCCCAGCTGCTACAGGGTAGCTTTGAAAAGGAACATTTATTAACTAAAACTTGCTCAATTGTAACTTTATACAAAAAAGCACTCTTATTGCAGTAAGAGCCGCTATAAACCAGTTCACAGTATTAAAAAAAAAAAGTCCTAAAAGGGAGTTTCCTCGAGGCGAGCGGCGTCGCGGCCCGGACTCCTGGTCAGTCTGCGGCGCCGGCCAGGCCTCCCTCTGCGCCGTCCACGATCAGCCGCGGCTCCAGCAGAGAGTCCCAGCGCTCCGTCAGCTGCAAGACACCGCAGGGCTCAGTCACGCGGCACGCCCACAGGGGGGACCCCCGCCCCCCCGCGCCCCCCGCCATGATCACGCGGCCATAACACCGGCGGTTACCTTAGAGCCCCGCGAGACGGCGTACTCCACGATCTCGGCGCCGTCGGGCGTGTGGTACACCAGATCGAACTTCCCCGGCTCGGCTGGGGCTGCTGGGAAGCCAGGGTGACACCAGTTAAAACCCAAACAGCTCAACCGCCAACGAGACGGCAGCTTTAGGAGAACAGGTTCTGGCGAGGAGTGGGGGAGGACTAACCAAACCCGTCTGCACCCCCAGTGCAAATCCCCAGGCCCCCCAACTCCGGCAGGCTGCTTGTACTGCACGCAACTGAGCCACTCCAGATGTTCACAGCTGTTGGCTCTAGCACGTAGCACCACCTGCCACCTAAACTTCAACTAACGGAGGCATGACGATAAATAGGCACAGATCCACTTCTCTGTTTCCTCAGGACAACGGCACCCGACAATGATCAGACTGCAGCCCCACAGTACAAATTCCAGTCCTTCGCTCCTCTCAGCCAGCTGAAGCACAATGCAAAGCCTCAGGAGGAAAATCAGTTTTCAACCCGAGACCCTTCAAGAGCCCCCCCCCCCCCCAAGACTGCAGCGCTCAGACCCCGTCTTCACTTCCTGTTCTAGTGTTGTAACACTGCAGGTTCCCCGGCCCATGTCCGTCTCGCACCTCCCCAGAGGAACCTGAAAGAGAAAGCCCAGGATCGGTTCTGCTGGAGCGGGCTGTCCCAGCTCAGTCACGCGGTACCTGGGGCGGACGACAGCAGCTCCAGCTCCAGCTGCCTGGTGCTCTGGTCGAAGCCGACGATCCTCCCCTCCTGAGGGGGCAAGGACAGGCAGGAAGATGGCAGGATGAGCAGACGGTTAGAAACTGGGACCGTCGAGACGTTAAGCTCAGATTTCAGGGGTTCTGCACAATTTCCATAACCACAGGCAGGAGCATCCGAGCTCAATCGCAGAACCGCTCTCCCCAGACCAGCATGTGGACCCCACCACCTTCCTCTTAAAGCCCTGCATCAAGAACAGGGACTTGCCTTGTAGTCGGAGACCTCCGGCGAGTAGTTTTCAGTCAGCTCCAGCAACTGCGTTTCAAGGAGATGGAGAGAGAGGAGCAGGAGGTGTCACTGAGGCTGTACATTCTGCACAGAGCCATGTCTTAAACCTCTCTTTGGAGGGAAAATTAAAAGCTGGTTAAACCAAAACCTCTGACCTTTGTACACAGAGCGAGAAGATAATGAACACTGACTGATTAGGCTGATAGGTTTCTCCCCACAACTCTCAACCTCAAAACGTACTACTCAAATTCATTCCCCACTCGAACGAGAATAGACCCGGCCATCCGGATCCAGAAGTGACCCATTTTCTTGAGGATCAACAATTCCCCAATTTGAAAAAGGCAACCCACTAAAAATGTAGTTTATTTTTAATCCCCGTCTTACCTTAAAGGCAATCAGCTGTCCGACAGCAGGAGGGGCGGCCAGCAGGGGCAGCAGACTGTAGTCTCTCTTGGGGGCATCGGCAGCAGGGTTCTGCAAAGCACAACAGCCCATCGGAGTGACTCCCCAGGATCGACTCGGGACCAGGATTCAACCCCTAGCCCGGCTCTGCTCGATCTCCAGAGACTGACCCCTCCCTGCCCCTTGGTCACTTCACAGTCCAGTCTTCTCCCACCTCACCAAGCTCCTGCTGGGACTGTAGCTCCTAATCACAGCAGGGCTAGTCAGCTGTCACAGCTGGAGAGGAGTCGTGCGCGACAAAATCACATTCCCTACCTCCCCACGACAGCTCCACCCTTCCTCCCTGCGCAACACGACCGGGCTGGGCTTCCAGACCCCGCCCGGGTCCTGACGCCCGGCGTGCAGACTCACCTGCAGCACCACAGACGAGTTCGTCAGGGCGTCGCCGTCGTGCTGCTGCTCGCCCCCGTTGTAGTTGTAGTACACGTGGTTCCTGGGCCCTGCTCTCGCCCTCCCGCGGCCCCCCCTGGGTCCAAGCCCCCTCCAGGGGAACCTGCCGTCCCCCCGGCCCCTCACCCCCCCGGCCCCTGGCGCAGGACCCCTGCCCAAGCCCCGGGCGGCCCCTGCGACACCCCGGGGGGCCCGGTCCGCGTCACCTCCCCTGAGACCCGGGTGCCTGATGAGCGGCTCGTCCCCACTGCTGCTGTCCGAGCTGGAGCTCTCCGCCCTGGCCCGGGGGACAGGGGCCTCCCCGGCCCGCTCGGGGGACCCCCTCTCCGGACCGGGCCCCGTGCTCCCGGGAGAGTCCGAGGGGCGCCGGCCGGCCGCTGCCCTCCCGCCCGGGACCGAGCTGCTCGGCCCACTCTGGGCTCGGTCGCCCTGCTGGGCGGCGGAGCTGGTTTTGGCGCTCGCACTGCTGGAGCGGGGCTCCTCGTCGCTGCTGCTGTCCGAGGAGGTGGGGGGACCTGGTCTGACCCCCCCTTTCCTCTCCCCCGAGGCGGCAGCAGCCCCGCTCTCCTGGGGGACCGGCCCCGGCGCCGGCTCAGCGGACGGCTGTCTCCCCTTCTTCTCTTTCTTCTTCTTCTTCCTCCTGCGCTTGTCCAGGTCCTCCTGGGCCTGCAGCTCGCTGGCCTCGCTCTTCTTCCTCCTCCTCCTCCTCGTGGGCTTGTCCAGGTCCTCCTGGGCCTGCAGCTCGCCGGCCTC